TTTTCTCCAGGCAGTGCTCCCAGCTCAGGGTTCAGTCACCAGACAAGTCATTTGTTATCTCTTGCCGTGTTTGGATTTCGGCCTCCCATGTTCTCCAACAAGGGCACCCTTGAGAAGAAGGGAGAGGAAAAGAAGGAAGGGGAGGGGTGGGGAGAAGAGAAGGTGCAGTGAGCATGAGAAACAAGCACTGAGAGACAGGAGGGGTGATACGGTTTGGCTGTGTCTCCACCCAAACGTCACTTAGAATTGTAATCCCCACCTGTCAAGGGTGGGACCAGGTGGAGGTGATTGGATCATGGGGCCAGTTTCCCCCATGCTTTTCTCATCATAGTGTTGAGTCTCAGGAGATCTGATGGTTTTATAAGCATCTGGCATTTCCTCACTTGCACTTCTCCTTCCTGCCGCCCTGGGAAGAAGATACTTTTCTTCCCCTTCGCTTTCTGCCATGATTGTAAGTTTCCTGAGGCCTCCCCAGCCATGTAGAAATGTGAGTCAATTAAACCTCTTTCCTTCATGAATTACCCAGTCTCGGGTATGTCTTTATAGCAGCGTGAAATGAACTAATACAATAAGCATCTGGAGGGGATATCGGTGGAGGAGACAGGAGGAGCTGAAGGAAGATACCACAGGTCTTGGGGCCAAAGACAAGGAGTGGCTCAGGAGCTCCAGGTCTGAGGGCAAGGCAGGGAGCAAGAAGGAGACAATACAGAGGTGCTGAGGCATTAGGGGTGTTGATTGAGGAGTGGCAGGCATCTCCTCTCAGAACGTGCTCAGGCTGGGGGGTTTCAGTAAATGTCCAAGCCCCCCTGGCCCGGTCTTTCCCTTCCAGGTAGGTGCTGTCCTGCCTCCTGCCATCTAGACTGGCCTTGTCCAGAGCGTTGCCTCTCCCTCTGGCTCTGATCTCCCTGCAAGGGGGCTCCCACTAAAGAGAAATGACACAATTTACAGAGGGAATGCTGGCCTCTAGACAGCCATGGAGTGCTATGCAGGGAATAACGAGATGCTCTGATAATAAGAACAGCCAAGGTTTACGGAGCGCCAGGTCCAGGAGTCAGCTCAGTGTGTTCTTGCTTCTTTATGTCTTAATTATTTGGGTTTGTAATCATCATCATCATCATGATAATGGAGATGTCAATAACAGCGATAACAGCTATCAACAAGTGAGCTCTTATTACTGTGTGTTTTATGTCTATTATTTGTTTCCATAGCAATGGTTTCAGGTAAGGGGATTTTCAAAAGGGGACAGACAGTGAGGCTCAGGAATGTAAACCAGTTGCCTGAGCTCCCATGTCTGGTAAATAGCAACACAGACCATGGCTCAAAATATATCTCTCTAACTTCAAAGCCCATGCCAGGGCTTTAAAGATAACTCAGGATTATGCTCTTTGCAAACAAAGGAAATTGGAACTCAGGGAGGTCCAATTTCAGTTTCTAGAACATCTACACCTCTTTGGAATGAAGGTGCACTTGGATTAGGGTCCTCTGAGCCCTGGTTAACACTTCCTCCCCATGTGCCCTGCTGCCCCCAACAGATGCAGGACAGTCCTTTCTATGGGGTAGGGGCCTAGGTGGGAACAGTGCTGCTTCCTGGTCCTTCCTGTCTGTAGCCAAGCTAAGTTTCATTAATGCAAGGACACCCAGATAGTGGGCAAATCTCAAAAGAGCAGCTTTTGGAGTCCCTGCGGAAGGGGAAGGAAGATGCATGTCCTCTTATTTATGGCCGTGCAACGGGCTTGGCCTTGGTAATAGAAACTGTGGTCTGGCGTGTTTCTTGCTGCCTTTGCTTGTTTAGAAACCGCCACTTGCAGGCACTGCCCACCCTTACAGGGCATGGGTCAATGGTCAGCCCTGTGGTTGGCGAGTGTCTACCTTGTGCCTGGCTGATGCCCACACCCTGAGAGATAGTACTATTATTCTCTCTTGTAGAAAAAGATAAATTTAGGATGTTTAAGTAACTAAGGCTTCACTGCTAATTCAGTTGCTCAATCAAGATTTGAATCAGGTGTGTGTGACTCCAGACTGGAAATATTTGGTTCATGAGGACTGCTACTTGACTACGCAGGTGTACTTCCAGAAGAAAGGGAAAGACAAAGGTATTTAAGCATTGTTTTTTAAAAAGGTAGTATTTCTATTTTCCTCCTTCTCCCTGCCTTCAGTATATTCCTACAAAAGGTTGATGGAAGGAAAATTGACATAAATCATAAAATCTCAAATGAGATTTGGGTACTTTGTGGTTTTGACTTATCTATACTGATCTTTCCATGAATGCAGATCATCAAAGTTTGGCTTTTTCTTTCTATTTATTGACTTGTCTATCCAAGTGCTTATCTATCTGTGTTCTGTAATGTGGAAAGCGGCCACAGTGCCTAAGACTGGGCTTGAAACTTCTGGCAATGTAATACACGTATTGGTTTTGGATTTTTCTTAAACGGATCATCTGGTACCATTGAGGACTTTACCTTTCTCTGACATTCTCAATTGCTCCGAGTTAAAAAATAAAAAGTTGCATGAAGGAATGTTCAGTGTCCAAGAAAGACATTGGATGAAGTGGGAGTGAAGGGTGAAGAGCAGGGTTTTAAAGAGAAAAACTCACACAATTTAGGACAGGCGAAAATGGTGAAAGAAGCCTAGTATTCCCACGCCCACCCCGCTCCCTATTACAGAACACCAGGCTAGAGTCATCTTGTAGTGTCAGTTTCAGACTTTTATCACATTTTCAAGTGGGGCCAACTTACTGACATTTTGTCCGCACAGCTCTGGCCAAAGCACTCGTGAGCCGAGGCTCGGCACTGCCAGGCAGCCCTCACTGTCAGACCAGCGGAGGCCACGCGGGCTGTGGACGCAGCCCCGGTATAGATGCAGCGGGGCCACATGCCTCTTCCTCTGGTTTAAATGTTTATCCAAAAAAGAAAAACGTAGCCTGAGATTTCACTCTGTGTGGCTGCCAGACACTTGTTTCTTTTCCAACTGGCTTCCCCATTGAGGGACTTTTCCCTGAAGGTCCTGGTGGTTTGGGCTTAGATTACAGGGAGCAAGGCTGTATTTTTAAGCAGGCCATGAGGGGAAGGGGGAAGACAGGGGAGGACACTGGGATGGTGTGTGTGTGTGGATGCGTGTGCTGTGTGGATGTTTGTTGTGTGTGTGTGATCTGTGTATGTGTTGTGTGAATGTGTGTTTTGTGTGTGTATGTTATATGTGTGTGAATATGAGAGTTGTGTGTAGTGTGAATGTGTGTGTGCATGTCTGGTGTGTGTGTGTAAATGTGTGTGTGTGTGTGCATGTGTGTGAATGTTGTGTGATGTGTGCGCATGTGTGAATGTGTGGTGTGTGCATGTGTTGTGTGTATATGTGGTATGTGAATGTGTGTGTTATGTATGTGTGTGTTGTGTGTGGTGTATATGTGTTGTATGCATGTGTGACACTGTGTTGTATGTGTGTGAATGTGTGTGTTGTGTATGTGGTGTGCAAATGTGTATGTGAATGTGAGTGCGTGTGCGCATGTGTGTATTGTGTGTGTGGGGTTGTAAATGTGTGTATGTGTGTGGTGTGTGTATGTGCGTGTTGTGTGTGCATGTGTGTATGGCTTTGTGCATGGTGTGTGTGGTGTGCGCATGTGTGTGTGTGAATGTGTGTGACTGTGTTGTGTGTGGTGTACATGTGTGTTTGTGCATGTGTGACTGTGTTGTGTGTGGTGTGTGCATGTGTGTGGTACATGTGTGTATTGTATATGTGTGTGTTGTGTGTGTGACTGTGTCTGCCACACAGAGGGAAATCTCAGGCTACGTTTTTCTTTTCTGGATAAACATTTAAACCAGGGGAAGAGGCATGTGGCCCTGCTGCATCTATACCAGGGCTGTTTCCACAGCCCACGTGGCCTCCACTGGTCTGACAGTGAGGGCTGCTGGGCAGTGCTGAGCCTCAGCTCAGGAATGCTTTGGCCAGAGCTGTGTGGACAAAATGTCAATAAGTTGGCATTGTGTATATGTGTGTTGTGTGCGTGTTGTGTGGGATGTGCATGTGTGTTGTGTGTGTGGGGTGTATGTGTGTGTGGTGTATGTGACTGTGAGTATGTGTGTTGTGTGTGGTGTGTGCATGTGTGTGCCTGTGTGCTTAGAACCTTAATCCTCAAGTCTAAATGCTGATGGCACCTCTGGGAGGTGATTAGGGTTAGATGAGGTCATCAGGGCGGGTCCCAGTGGGGTTAGCAGCTTTGTGGGAAGAGGAAGAGAGACCTCAGGGCAACACCCCACCCTTTGCCATGTGATGCCCTCGGCTAAGTCATGGTGCAGAGGGGAGGCCCTCATCTGATACACCCGAACCACAGAATTCCAGCCTCCAGAAATGTCAGATACAATTTTTTTTTTTATAAATTGTCCAATCTCAGGTATTCAGTTATTGCAACAGAAAGCTGACTCTGATGAGGGCTCTGCAGCAATGCAGAGCTGGTCCCAGAGGCAAGATGGACAGAGCTTGTGCAGCTCTGGGCGTCCCTGTGGGCACCTCTGGGCCAAGCCCAGCTGCACTTTCACCCTCCTGATTTCCCACAGCAGGCAGGAGGGTGGTGGAGCCCACAGTCCGGGGCAGGAGAGTCTCTCAGATTCCTGGGAGGAGCTCGGAGCCCAAACGAGGACAGACAGAAGCTGCTTATCTCCAGCTTGCGTAAGAGCAAAGAGCTGGCCACTGTCACTTGCATTTTTGCAGAGACCCAGGCAGGCTGGGTGTGGGAGCTTCCCAGTGGAAGGGAAGGCACTGGCTGAGCCCCAGTGGAGGCTGCTGGCCTGGAAGCTGGGGCCGCAACTAGAACCGGGGCATCCCGTGTGAGTTTAAGGCGAGCACGTTTGTCTTTCTCGGTTTGTCCTCAGTGGGACGTCAGGGCAGGAGTCGGGGCAGCTGTGAGTTATTAACCAAGTCTTAGGCATCTGGGACTGACTCTTACGGGTTGCTTGATTCCTAGATTGGGGCGAGAGATAGCGGCCTGGCTTCCCGCAGGTGTGACTTACCGAGGGCAGGCCAGCGTCCAGCCTGGCTGCTGCAGGTCGTGGGCCACAGTTCCATTTGTACAGATGGTCGCACCATTGTCTCTTTGTATATTCAGTGTCTAAGACCCCATTCTGGCTCCAGCCCTTCCTGATGTGGGGCCTTGGACATGTCCCCTGACTGTCCTGTGCCCGTCTTTTCAGCGGTGAAGGGAGCAGTGACCATGCACACCACTGAGGACAGCTGTGGGGATGAAACATGGCAGGCCGAGGTACAGTAGGTGTGCCAAAGTAATTCAGAAAAGCCCAGCTGTCCCTCCGTGGGCCTTCACTCCATGCTACCTTGGCTGGAAGGTGGCCAACGTTTGTTTTGAGGCTAGGGCTGCTTCTCCAAACACATGGAATTAATCTTTGAATCACACATTTGGCAGCTCCAAGCATCCCCTTCAAGATGGTCTGCTGACAGTCTCCTCTGCTGTCTGCTCACTGGACTCCGGGATGCTTTGTGAGGCAGTTGTGGGGTGCAGCAAATAATAAAGGTTTTGGAATCTGAAGACTGGAGTTAGAATCTTAGGTCAGTAATTTGCTGCCTTGGTAACCTCCATCAAATTCCACCCCGCTGAGGATGAGTCTCTTCATCTTTATGAAGGGGATGTGGTATTGGCACCCCTGGCTTGGGTGACATGTGAGGCAGCTACATGGTGCTGGGTGTGGTGTCCGTCTCTCCCTCTATCATGATCTGTTCTCTCTCTCTCTCTCTCTCTTTTTTTTCTTATTTTCTTTCCCCTTTCTGTGAAAGTTACCCCATCCCATTTAGCTTTGTGAATGACCTGTGCTTCCCAGCATTCTATACTTACAAAACTAGTTGGGATTGCTTTTCTTGAGAAGCTGTTTTGTAAAGAAGTTTGCTAGATATCTATCTACATGGACACAGATGTATTGATATCGTATATTGTTTCTTCTTTTGGAAAGGAGTCAAAGAGCCTCCTGTCATCTTGCAGGTAGGTGGGCAGCCCGAGATCTAAACTTCCCGTGGGAAATCTCCACGTGGAAAAGCCCCACTCAGAATCCCAGGCGGCAAGGGCAGATTAGGACTTACCATGGCGTTCCAAGCTCCATGGCCATAGGTGGGTTGCTCTTGGTCACCAGGGGGCAGAAGCATTGATGGTAAGAGCTGTTCTTCTTAAACCTATCGACTGAGATTATAATCAAGGATGCACTACTGGCTGTTTCGGATCTACTTTTGCAAAGTTGGAGTCCAAGAGAGTCCCCCAAAGCCACTAGGATGACATATGGTCTCTGCAAACTTCCCATGATGAGGCACTTCATGAACCAGCACAGTGAAGAAGGCCCAAGTCACAGCACCCAGCATGAACCCAGCAAACACCACACAGTTTCATTCACCACATAGAACCGGAAGTTGACTGCCGACGGCCATCTGAGAGGCTGCCATAGTCTGTCCAATATTTTTCAATCAGGAGACACTCTGAGCTCCCTTCTGTGGCTGGGTAGGTGCTGAGCTCCAGAGGTTAAAAGACAAACATGTGTTAACATTCTGGAGGTTGTAGCATGCTCACAGTTAAATGGATTTCATTTCAGAATATTACTGATCCCAGATTGCACATGGTATGTGTGTATTACATAGACGGATAGACAGATTAACATTTGTGGAAACAAAACATCGTCTGCATTATCAGGTTGTCGTAAATTCTTACAATTTTGCGTGGCCTCAGCATCTGTTTTGAATACAAGTTTAACTTTCGCAGACCAGAAGTAAGGCTCGGTCATTCTTGACACAGTTTCGAGTTGTATACCACACCAAAGTGGCTCAAGCTGGTGGCTCAAGATTCAGAATTCAGAGGCATTTCTCACCCAGCCAATGGCGCTTCTGTTTTCCTGCCCAGGCTTCCTTTTTAGACAAAGTCTCACTCTGTCACCCAAGCTGGAGTGCAGGGATGAGATCTTGGCTCACTGTAACCTCTGTTTCCCAGGCTCAAGTGATCATTTCACCTCAGACTCCCCAGTAGCTGGGACTACAGATACGCACCAACACACCCAGGTTTTTTTAAAAATTGTATTTATTTTGTAGAGATGGGGTTTTGTCATGTTGCCCAGGCTGGTCTCAAACTTCTGGACTCAAGTGATCTGACCTCCTCGGGCTTCCAAAGTGCTGGGATTACAGGTGTGAGCCACTGCACCCAGCCCAGTCTTCCTTTAAATGGACCATTCAGACCTTTGCCAAAGACCTTAAAGTATGTAACTATTCCCACACCCTATTCCCTTACACACACACAGCCACACACAGCCACACCCACCCACATATATATATATATGTAAACATACTGCTAGTGCCCACTCACTCTCTCTGCCTGACTCTCATCCCATTGCACGTGTCCCGGGGATGGAGGACTGCCCTCCAATTTCTTATACCCTCCCACCTGCATCTGTAAGTAATAAATCTTTGAGCTAGTTTCCTGTTGTGCGGGTTGATTTCGTGTTTTCCAACTGAAGAACCAGGGACTGCCTCAGGCTGGGCTTTGCCTGGGATGCCAGGGAGGCAGTTAGTGGGGACAGAAGGTTGGACTTCTAGCACCACAGCAATGGCCAGAAAGGCATAAACTGAGCACGGGTCAGACAAGAGCCACAGGGGTGTCTGCCAGTATAAACATGTTTCCCGTGTGAGAGACTCCCTGGTTGTGGGTTGAACAACGAGGCATGAGGCTATCCACAGGTAAAAGAGGCATTCCATGAAAGGTGCTCTGTAAATGCTGACACCCAGCTCCCCCTTCATCTCCCATTAGGGCAGGGTTGCCAGCCACTCTGGAATGAGAACCTCAATTTAGCTGGGGCTCTGAAAACACAGGTACACTCTGGTGACTTGCCAGCAGACAGTGTTTACATAGCAAGTGCCATATTCATGGCACTGAAATCACAGCTGTATTTCACGGAGTGACTCCCTGTCCATGGGTGGCGCTGAAATCACAGCTGGAGTTCATGGAGTAACTTCTTGTCCATGGGTGGCACTGAAATCACAGCTGGATTTTGTGGAGTGACTCCCTGTCCATGGGTGGTGCTGAAATCACAGCTGTAGTTCAGGGAGTGACTCCCTGTCCATGGGTGGCACTGAAATCACAGCTGGAGTTCAGGGGGTAACTTCCTGTCCATGAAATCACTGAAGTGACTTTCTGTCCATGGGTGGCGCTGAAATCACAGCTGGAGTTCATGGAGTGACTTCCCGTCCATGGGTGGCGCTGAAATCACAGCTGGAGTTCATGGAGTGACTCCCTGTCCATGGGTGGTGGTGAAATCACAGCTGGAGTTCATGGAGTGACTCCCTGTCCATGGGTGGCGCTGAAATCACAGCTGGAGTTCAGGGGGTAACTTCCTGTCCATGAAATCACTGAAGTGACTTTCTCTCCATGGGTGGCGCTGAAATCACAGCTGGAGTTCATGGAGTGACTTCCTGTCCATGGGTGGCCTGGGCAGTGAATCTTCGGCTGTGCCCCATGCCCTATGTACTGTTATTACATTCATCCTTGGAAGCCACTTCAAAAACATTTCTAAACAAGGCAGATAATTGGTTGCAAGCCATCTGTTGTATGTAAACCAGTAAATGAGAGATGTGTACATCTTCTTCAGTTTATTATTTTGAAAATTTTAAAACCACCTTTCCAGTAAAAATATTCCAGAGACTTAAAGGAACAGTAATAGTCATGCAACTGCAGAAAAACAGCAGATATTAGACTGAAGTGTGGCCTGTGACCTCTAAGAGTCTGCAGTTGGAAACAACTTCCCTGGAAAGTTATGTCCAGTGTAGACTGGATATATTCAGTCTTCTTTTGGAAGAAAAATAAAATTTCCAAAAAAAGAAATGTTTTTTAAAATAAAAAGTAACCAGTGTCATACCTTTTTGTAAATTTATTTTTTTTACATTTACATTTTATCTGGATATTTTCTTTCTTTAATCCCTTGAGCTCCCATGAATATTTCTCAAACCACACAGTCACTCTTTCTGAGTTAAAAACCAAAGAAATCAAATGTACTGCAATTCAGAGATGAAATGCTTTTTGTTTCCCTCAAAATAAAACTAATGGAAAGTAGCAGGTACTCCCTAGCAAAAACATGGTTGTTACTTAATGTAGTCTCAACAAATAGACTTCCATTGGAGCTGATTTGAGCCCCACACAATCTGAAAGCTCTTTATGTAAGTCCATCATGACGAGTAAGCAGCCCAGTAGATCTTAGAACCACTGGAAAGAAACAAATAGAAATAAGAAAAAAAAAAAATCAAAATGTTACGGAATAGTTTGCGTTTCTTTTCTATCTCCAATTTAGCAGCATGTTCTCATTCTGTAGAAATATCACCTTTCAAGTTTCCATGTTGTCAAAGTATTTAAAACTCCACTGCTGGGAAACCAGAATGATCCATAGGGCATAGGGTGCAGTTTTTAACTCAAGCCCTATGAAACGAGCTAATGTATAGATCACCTGAACCATGCTGGGAATATCTGTAGGCCTTGCCAGGTATGCAAAAGAAAATGGCACTTCTATTTTTGTCTGGATAAGTCAAATAGCAACCAGACGACCACAGCATGAGAGTGCGGAAAGTGCTCAAAATATTATGTCATTCTTCAGCATATAATAAATCCCTCCTGCAAATTAAACTTAGAGTTATCAATTGGACTCATAGCTCTCAGTGGTGATTTCATCTTAGAATTTGGTAGCCGACGGTACCTTGTGCTTGGCTTTGGATGCTGGGATGCTTGGTCATTAGTCTGTAGCATCTGTCTAGCAAATTCAGACTTTCTGGGCTTACATTTTGTGAAGTGATTTGCTTTACTTTCTTCCATTTTTTTCTAAGTGCATTCATTTTTAATTCACTTTTTAAATACATTTCATCTCAGTCTGTTACATTTACCCTTGGAAGCCACTTCAATGACATTTTAAAATAAGGCAAAGAGAAATTGTTAGTACTTATTCTCATTACTAGTTCTGTGTTTGCTTCTACATATGAAAAGGCGAATAGCCTGGAGGTAACCAATGATGTAGATAGCACAAGGTTTCCTGTTTAAAGGCTTCTCCTCTGTGCAGCTCTTCCTCTTTCCTCCAAGTCCAGGTCACAGATAGTAAAGTATGAGACAATGCTTTCAAAATGTGTCAAGCAGCTTATGCTAAGTAAGATGCAATGCCATTTCTCCCAGGATCAAAGAGTTCTTTTCCACTTTGCCCAAAGACAAAAAAAGTAGCTATCTTATTCAGATACTTTGTTTTCATCCCCTTTGTGGTATCTTCTGTGGGAGGCAGGAGGCAGGTAATGTTTGGACATCCTCTCTGTGCTGGGCACCACCAGGCTGAACTTTTTGTATGCATGGTCTTACTGAATCCTCCCAACTTTGCAAGGTTGTTTCATTGGTCGTATTTCACAGATGAGAGAACAAAGACCCAAGTTGTTAAATATATTGTAGAAATTTCGTTTAGCTTTCGTGTGCGCAGTCTGCACTCTGTGATGCTGTCTGAAGAAATCGCATTTGCTGTGGTCAATGT